TGGACCTACCCTTTGAAGAACAACGCCACATGCCGCTGGCCTTCATATCTGGTTCATTTCATAGCTCCTCGTCTCGCTGGCCCACGCCCGAGAAGGAAGGGTTCGCCATAGTGGAGTCGGTCAAAAAGTTAGACTACCTGCTTTTACGACCACAGGGATTTTGTCTGTACACTGACCACAAGAATCTCGTTTTCATATTCAATCCTCACTTGGCATCTCCACATCTCGCCAAGCACAAGGTCACAAAGATTGAACGATGGGCCATGCACCTCGCAGGCTTCCACTACACTGTTGTTCACATCCCGGGCGAAGACAATTGCTGGGCGGACCTCCTGTCCCGTTGGGGGGCGAAGCATTCCGAACAGGAAAGTTCCCTGTTTGTTCGAGCGAGCCTCTCATCGCTTTTCACCGCGCCAGTCGCTCCCGAACTGGATCCCGAGTTCACCTGGCCAAAGCCAGCGGACCTGATGACTGCACAACAAGAAGCCATGGAGACTGGGGAAGAGACCATACCGAAACAGAAGCGCTCCTACCTGCACATCAATGAACAAGGACGTGTGTGGGTGCCAGCCGTAGCGGTTTAGTTGCAGCTACGTATTTGTGTAATCGCACACTGTGGTCGGGGTGGACACAGAGGTTCGGACACAACTTTGAAACACATCACCGATCATTTCTATTGGAAGAACATGAAGGCGGACGTAGAGGCTTTCTGTAGATCATGTCTGCACTGTCTCCTCACCATTGGCGGCCATCGCGTACCCAGGCCTATGAACCATGCACTGCATTCCGACAAACCAAACGAAGTTTTACACTTCGATTACCTTTACATGGGACAAAGCACAACGGGGGCAGTTTATACATTACTCCTGAAAGATGATGCCTCTTCATTCGTATGGATCGAACCGTGCCACGCTGCGGACGCTGAGACCACTGCAGATGTTTTGCTGCGCTGGATGGCCTCCTTTGGAGTTACTCCGAATTGGGTCTCGGATCGCGGTGCTCATTTCAAGAACAAAGTCATGGACGCCGTCAATCGCTCCTTGCACTCTCGCCACCACTTTACCACTCCCTACTGTCCTCAAGGTAATGGAACAGTCGAGACGGTTTGCAAAGAGGTACTGCGGGCTTGTCGTGCGCTACTATCGGAATTTCGCATGAAGGAGAAAGAATGGCCGGCTGTATGCAGACTCATCCAGAGCATCCTCAACCACACAAAGCGCCCTTCTTTGGGAAACAAGGCCCCGATCACGGCCTTCACTGGCATGTCACCAGACAGCCCACTACTGTCCATCCTACCCCCGGGTCAAGCCGAGCCACGGTCACTCGAATTCATCAAGGCTCAAAAGCTGTTGCACAGCGCATCGCTACTCAAATGAGTAGACGAGATTCACAAGTATGTTGCCCACAACCGCACCCGAAAACGTCAGGCGGCACTCAAGACTCACAACGCAAAGACGCATGTACAAGATGTCAATTTTGAGGTTGGAGATTACGTCTTAGTTGCGCAGAGGTTGTCCAATATTGGACACAAACTTCGTGTGAAGTGGCGTGGCCCCCAACGCGTGGCTCGTGCTGTTTCAGATTTGGTATTTGAGGTTGAAGACCTTCTATCGCATTCACCAACTCTAGTTCACGCTAACCGTCTCAAATTTTATGCGGACTCAAAGTTACATGTCACAGAGACCCTTCTCGATACTATTGGGCACAACAATCCCCACTACAATACAGTACAGGAGATACTCGACTTGCGTTACAATGACACATCCGCGATGTACGAAGTTCAAGTCAGATGGCGTGGGTTTGAAGACGAGGAACCAACGTGGGAACCTTTCGAGAACATACAAGAAGATATACCAAAAATGTTCGCCAAATGTCTCTCCACTTTCCCAGATCAAGCAGTTGTCTCAGCCTCTAAACTCAAGTATGCATGAAGCATCAAATTAGAGGGAGGACTGGTGCGCCTGTGACGCGCCTGGGACGCAATTGTTCGTTGCCGGTCACATGCCCGCGCTCGTGAAGGACTCGCTTGAACGGTATACTGTACACAAGATTGGAACCGTTTGCATCTAATCGTTAGAGTTTTGTACATTGCAAACGTACACACGCCCACCTCCCACTGTCTGCAGTATCCGAGACGGCGTGGAAGGACACTCGAGCACTACATACGGCAGGTATTTAAAGACCCGTAGTCTCGTGTCGACGAGAGAAATAAAAGGACAGAACACTTATTCACTCCAGACTAGTCTTCTCGGAGGCACTCGCCCCGGGAAACGCCACACATGGCTGAGCGCCGCAGCAGCCTGGCCGTCACACGAGTGTCTCTCGGCCGTGACATGGGCATCAAATCTCTTGCGAGAAGGCGGCGGCATGGGGCGTTTCCAATCCATGATTGGTGTCTTTGTGAGGAAGCCAATCTAAAGAGGAAGCGCTTATGAAAAGGTGTGAGTAGTAGTCCAGTACAGCGACTAGAACGAGAACGGTACAGCCTATCCTCACTCCGCACTACACCACTCCTCTCCACACCTTGATTGTGAGCCTGCAGTCGCTGCTCCCACACCCCCGCGTCATCACGGCATTGTGGTGCGCAGTGAACACAGCACGCGGGCAAGTGAAACGGAGAGGGAGGTGTTCGACTGGCACTGCATTTTATTTGGGTTGGATTGGAATACGTCCAGTGTAAAGCGAAGCCCGTCAGGTAGTACAGACGGGTCAGTGTCTTCGTTGTGCCGTCGCTGCGGGGAATCACAGGGAGCAGGCGGAAGAGGGGGTGTAAACAGAAGGAGGGCCACGCGGTGGAATACTGCACTATTAGCGTATTGCACTACTCAAGGGAGGATCTCGCAAATCACTTTTCACTGTTTTACAACGCGGTTTTACTTGAAGAAATCCGTTACAATTGATTGATTATTGTCCAAGTTTTGTTCTCTCTTCAGCGTCATACGCTTGCAGCAATGTACGCTTTGCTTTTCTGAGAGGCATGTGTGTGGTTTTCGTGAACAAGGGTGAGCGAGGCGGGTTGTGGACGCAAAGACCGTCACCAGGTGATGGGTTTGCGGACGGGCAGTGGGGGAATTCAAGTGAGAAAAAATGAAGGGCGAGAGGGCAGGAGGGTGTCAAGGAGCGGGATGTGGGAGGGGGATAGGACGTAGCCGTTGGGAAAGGGATGGGGGGATTGGTTGTTTAAAGGAGTCGTAGAGGAGTCGGGTATCTGCCGGGGTCAACGGCCTGAGGCCTGAGGGGCGGTGGGGGGTGGGGCGAAGCTTATACACTGGGCGATGTACTGTAGTGTACAGTTGTGTAGGAGATGGGTTTGGGATTGGAAAGGGGTGGGAACTTTGGGGCCAGGGGTTTTGGGAAGAGACGGGGGTTGAGGAAAAAATTAAAGAGAAAGAAATGGTTGGATAGCTGGATAAACTTGAGGTGTGGTGGTAGTGGTGACGGGTAGGTGATGGATAGCAAGATAGGATGCACAAGACGCAAGATAGAATGGCTGTGATAGAAGCGATGTTTTTAAACTTTGCCACTTTGCTCGCGAGAGAGGGGTTCGCGCGGGCCATGGAGATAGGGATGGTCGATAAGCGGGTAGGGCGGGTAGGAGAGTACCGTATGAGAGACGAATAGTGCCATGTGTTATACGGGTCCAGCAAGACCCCGCGCACCACCGCCGCAAGACCCCGCCGCGGCGGTGGTTGTGGCGGTTGGGAGAGGGGACACAGCAGGCAAACAATATGGGAAATTCGAGACCATCAATTGTGGGGGGGAGAGAGGTATGATAGGGGATTCCCGTACTCACTGCTGTACGATAGCCACCTGGACACGTTTAGCCACACCACACCACAGTACTTAAGCCCGTCGTCGCCCACTCCAGTAAACTGTGTGTCCACTTCTTTTCTTGCACGAAGAAGTGATCGATTTCTGCATGGGGATACCTGCATGCAAGAATATCATATCTTGTGACCGGCCAATGGGAACAGTTTTTATCATAACTATGTGCAAAAGCAACAATTTTCTTCCCTGTTTAGAACGATCCTCAGGGTCGTTCTAAACAGGGAAGAAAATTGTGTGTGGGCATCATCAGCCTTGATCACACTCACAGCAGGGAATGGGATGATAATTTACGCATGTTATTGGCTCGCACGAGCCAACCACAGCATGTCGCAGTGCTGGCACAATATTGAATACCCCCCCATTGATCCTAAATCCCTCCCTAGTTTTCCCCATCCCCATCTGCAACACCCACGCCCCACCCGAATCACCCGTCCCACCCGTCCTATTTAAATCCCCCAGAGCAATGTAGTTGCCTCCTTCTTCTCCGTCTCCACTCTGCCATCCTCACTATCTTCGACACGCTTCGTCCAACCTTTAACCGACAACCAGCACGATCCATCCACTGAACACCACCCTTCTTCGCCATGCTCGACTGCACTAACCCCACGTCCCGTCCCCTCGCCCGCACCTGCTTTCTCTTCGTCTTAACCCTCACACTCTCGCTCACCGCACACTCGTCCGAAGCCATGCCGTTACCCTCACCCGCACCGCCTAACCTTCCAGCCCTGCCGACTGCTGACCCCAATCACGAGCTACCGTGGCAATCGAACTATTCCTTTCTCGCCTTGTGTATGTTCGTAATTGTCAACGTCATCTACCTCGTCCGATGCGTCATTGATTGGTGTTGCAATTGTCCCACAGACCTCCTTCGCTCCGCGACCTCGCCAGACAACCATGTCCTTCCGCTGCATATGGCGCATTTGACAAGGGCGGAGGATGCCAGTAGAGACCTCCTTCGCTCCTCAACCTCGCCAGATAACCACGACAACCACGACCTCCTCCGCTCTTCAACTTCGCCAGGCAACCACGTCCTTCCGCCGGCTATGGCGCATTCGACAAGGGCGGAGGCCAGTAGAAGTGTGTCCTCCACTGTCGAAGAGACCGTTTCTTCCGTCAACCGCCGAGTCACTTCCGTCGAGCACGTAGTCTAGGGAACGAGACGTTCAGACGCCATGTCCGTGAGCTCAATGGGCAGGTCTATTTTTTTGTTTCAATTTGTTGATGGTATGCCCCGACCCCAGCACACCCATCTCTTTTGTAAATGTTTTCTTGAACGTGCATAGAGTTATGTGTCGGGTTTCCACGAGATTTGCTAAATACGTTGTTACTGACGAGTATTGTTTGGGCATGGATAAATGGCGTTCGGTTTGGTTGGCAGCTGCATCAAGATTTTGGATACGTTTGATCCGGCTTCCTTCCGCTTCCACGAACCTGTCTTCTGTCTTCCAGGGGGGAGGGTCGCCTTGTTAGGCTAGTGTCTATCGGACCATTGTCCTAAAACCCCTAATTCGACCTATTTTATTCTTGACTTCTGCTTCCTCGACAAGAAAGAAAGAGACACCCGCGCCACCGTACTTGACTTCTGACTTGGGGCCAGAAAGAACTTTGTGAGAATTGCTTGTTCTTCCTGCTTGTGTTTAGATATGTCTGGAAAACCTTTTTTAAACCACCTTAATTAAAACCGAATAAAACCGGGCGAATTAGAATAGAAAATGACACTGTTGGCCATTGTGCAACTTTCCAACTTTCGCGGTCCTCGCCCCCGCGGGGGGGTCGCACCGCAGAAGCTTTAAACGGTACAATGCGAGGCGCTCACCGCTTTAATACTCGTCGTACCGAGCTGCAGCAACGAAAGCATGTGCATGCAGATGTGAAGCCCGCTGCCAACAGCGCCTCCGGCGGCGCCCTCACGCGTGCAGGCGCACGGGTTCGAGCGGTCTACTCTGGCATGCGTGGAACGCGCTGCGTCGGGCGACCTTCTTGACGGCGCGCTTGCGCCAGCCGGCGGGCTCGAGGACGTGGAAGGTGAGGGGCCTGTCCGCGTGCGGGATGGCGTCGAGCGCGCCCGCGACGTCCTCCTTGAAGTAGAGGTTGTCCGCGACGCCGCCGCGCACCACCGTCACGCCCGGCCCGGTGAGGAACACCCACATGCGTCGCGGGAGCGCCGCGCCGAGCGCGCGCCGCAGCACCGCGTCCCATGCCACGAGCGTGGCCGCCGACCGCCGCAGGTGCAGCGCGCCGGCCAGCAGGAGGAAGTCGGGCCTGCGCGCGCGCATGTCTGCGAGCAGCGCGCTGCTGTGCAGCTGCGCGGGGTGGGGGGGGAGGGGGAAGGGAACGAAGC